AATTATTAAAACTGTTTAAATCAATAACATGCTAAATTAAGCCATCATTTTACCTATTTGAAATGTTACCGTTGATTTGGTGCTAACTAAGGTTCCACATGTGTTATTATTTTGATGTGACAATAACTTAACATTCGATGTAGTGATAATTTGAAATAAATTATTAAAACAGAATTGTGGCTGCCCCTTATCTCATATTCGTATGATATTTGAGGAGGACTGCTCTTATCTCTTAAACAACCATGGTTTTTTATAGCAACCATGGTACCGAACAGAAACAACCACATATGTCTTTGTTTGTTTGATTTTTATTTTTAATTTTTAAATTTTTATACAAGATTATTTAATTTATAACAAATCATCACCATATCGAATGCCAAGTTATTGCTATATCAGAATAATAATACACAGTGGAATCTTAGTTTGCCCCAATTAAGTGATAACATGTTGAATAGATAAAATAAACGTTTAATTACACTTTTTATCGATTTAAAAAATTTCAATAATTTTTTTTTTTGTTAGGAGTTAAATTATACTATTTTCCTATTCTTTACTGAGGTTGTAAGACTCTGTTTGGTAACATAGTTAGTTAATCAGTCAATTCTGACTTATTTGATTACTATTAGTTATTCAACTTGGTTAAACAGTCAATATAAGTGTTTGATTAATTAGTTTTTTGTAATAGCTTATTGCTTAAAAATATTAAAATTTAAAAAGATGTTCAAAAAGTCAAAACAGTTTTTTTTATCTGCTTTTTGAGAAAATTATTTTGCATATAATCAGCTATCAGATAATAATTAATTTACTAAACATTTGTCTACAATCAACTAATGTTATCAACTATCATATAACAATTAATTTACTAAACATCTTTATACAATTAAGGGATAATAGACCCTCCAACTATATATCAAAGTGCAATTAGACCCTCAAACTAAAAAAACATCCAATTAGACCCTTAAACTTGTTAGATATGTGCAATTAGCTTATTTAATAGGTTACCAAATGGTAACTTGCAACTTTTCTTACATGACATGCATTTTTTGTGAAATCTTATTTAAAATGTTTAAAAAAATATTTTTAAAACTAATTTTAAAAAAATCTGACGAAGAAACCGAACTACGTCTTCTCACCTCAGCTCCTCTAATCATCGCCAAATTAAACCCAGGCCTTTTTATTTCATATTTTCTCCATCATAATTCAATTATTATTACATCATAGCTACCATATATATATATATATATATATATATATATATATATATATATATATATATATTTGCAGTATAAGAAACACTAACATAGCTTGTTCTAGTGGAATGAACTTGTTCAGGATCAAGCGAAGTGAAACTTGAGAGCGTGAAATCGCAAGAAGATTCGCAGATGATGATGGATTAAAGGAATCGCAAGCTCATGATATTGAACGGGGAATCGGCCAGGTGGTCGAGGATGAAGAAGCAGAAGCTTCGTCAGATGGAAAATTTATTGTCATGAGAAGTAGGGGTGTGCAAACTTCGGATATACAAAGTTCGGTTAACCGTTTTCGAACCGAACTTTTTCGATTCGGTTAATGGTTAAAGGAATTTTAAAACTTCGGTTAACGGTTAATTCGGTTCGAAAGGTCGGTTAATCGAATTAACCGAACGGTTAACCGAAGTTTTTAATATATATATAAATAATAATATAAATATAAATACTAATTTGAAGTTATGCATGTTTGGAGTTTCTAATTAATGTTTTTGTATATTTTGTTATGAATTTATTATGATATGTATTTTATTTTAATTAGATTTATTATTTTAGGTGTTATTTTTTGAATTTTGAATTTTAAATTTTAGCTTTAAAAAGTTCGGTTAATCGGTTAACCGACCGATTAACCGAAAAAAATTTCGGTTCGGTGAATTCGGTAGAGCAAACTTCGGTTCGGTTAACGGTTAAAGGAAAAAAAACTTCGGTTAATTTGTTTCGGTTAAAACGATTCGGTTAACCGATTGAACACCCCTAATGAGAAGACGTAGTTGGGATTTTTTCTTCGGATGGAAAGTTTTTTTTAAATTAGTTTTTAAAGATTAGTTTTAAAAATATATTTTTTTAAATTTTAAATAAGATTCTACAAAAGATGCATGTTATGTAAGAAAAGTTGATAAATTACCTTTTGGTAATCTGTGAAATAAGTTTTTTGCACAAATCTACCAAGTTGAAGGGTCTAATTGAATGTTTTTTTAGTTTGAGGGTCTAATTGAATTTTGGTATATAGTTGGAGGGTTTATTTGACCCTTATCCCTACAATCAATTAATGTTATCAAATAATCAAACATACTAACCCAATTAACTAACCGTTATCCACTAACACTATTTACCAAATACCCCAATATGTTTTATTATACTATTTAATTAACTTAAAAGACTTATTTAATCTTTTTTCCTGATTAAAATACAGGAAAAAAAAAAAAAAAAACGTCTTGTCCATTTAAAGTTGTGGAGGGAGGAGTTGAATTTGTTTGGCATCAAATTGTTTTCCCAAGATTTAATTAATTCAGCCACCTCGAAGAAAAAGAAAAAACATAAATAAATTTAGGAGGAGACAAAAGTGGAACATCCAAGAAGTCATGTCTACCCTCACGCCAATTGGGTGTCCTGATCAGTACCACAAGTTATAATGTTTGTTTAAGAAACAAAAAAATTCATGGGGACCCACCAACTACAACACCAAAATCCTGACTACCCAATCTCACCCGAATCAACAAAACACAGAATGGGCCCATGGGTCAATTAAACTCCAACCAAGCTGGGGCCCACCATGTGTCTCAAAGCCCTCTACATCTTGCTCTTATCTAAAACTTTTTTTTTTTTTTCTCTATATACTTAAAATATCTACGCTAACTCATAACTCATAAGATGTGAATAAAATGAAGATAATTATTTTTTCAACTTAATCATGTTTCACGTTTCAACTCTAAAAATGCAGCTCCCTAAAATTCAAAAAAAATAAAAAAATCAAGTAATGAATAATAACATTATAAAATCCAAGAAACTCTAGAATAGCTAAGGGAGTTGGATATTAATGTGGGAGACGTGAAAATAGATGCGCAACAAGTGATAAGATTTGCAGTGTGAACCTTTAGATTCTTATTTTGGTTTTATTGTTGGCATGGTTGAAAAAATCGATAGGCGCCGATAGGCGCTCGTGTAATTTTTTTTATTTGAAAAAAAAAGTTGTCTATTTAAAAAAAAAATTAAAATTTTTAAGACTTGATAATTATAAAATATATTTTTTTTTTGGAGAATATAATTATAAAATATTTAATAATTTAATAATTAATACAAAAATATTAAATATTAACCTAAAAATATCTATGATTTGAACGATTTAGAGTTATTCCCCTCAAATCGACGTCATTTTGAGTGAAATAACTCATTTAAAAAAATACAAAAAGAGATCAATAGTTAATCTTCGGATTAGTCGGCACCTAGACCACCGACTATGGTGATACGCTAGGCGACCGGCCAGCGCCTAGGCGCGATTTTCGTAACACTAATTGTTGGTGATATTAATGAAGCTGCTAGTCAATTCTTAAATATTAATTTCAATTTTATTAAAGAATCTACAAAATCATATCGTTCATTTTATTGCTCGAGAGGCTATTTTTATGTTAAATTACAATATTTGGCATGCTAATCCTTCATTATTTATTGGTGACTTGTTATCGTTTGATTTATTAAATTAATCCTTTTATCTTTAAAAAAAATATAAAATCATATTAATAGGTACAAAAATTGTAGGGAATAAGCACTATTATATTACACATGCAATCATGAGAGAGAGAGAGAGAGGTTTAAAAGAAAGGATGTTTAAGGAGGGGGGATATGAATTGGTATAGGACAAAACCCTTGAAAGAAACACAAGTGGAGCAAAAGAAAAAGTGGTATGAACAATTGTTGGGTTGTATTGTGTGGATGCATTGCACTTGCTTTGAAAAGAAAACAGTAAATAAATGAAACATACTATGCTGCTATACTCAGTACTAGGTCAAAATTATTATGTTACCTTACCTGGTACCTTTTGGTTTATTGTACCTAATACACTGCTGCTTCAAAAGCTTCCCTATTGCACCAACTCACTCAGCTGCCTGTGATCAACTCTCTCTCTCTCTCTATATATATATGGCACATTTGATTTTTTGGTAAGAAAATGTTTTTTTTTAATCCAATTTTTCACATATATAATTGATAGGGATTATACTAGTACAACCATCTCTAATGTACTAGTCAGATCCGACCAATTGACCATCACTGATCGACAAATACTTTAGCTCCCGGTCATGTCTCCCGATTCCATTTGAAACCAAGCTATCCCCTAGTATACTTGTGCAACTATGAACGCTTCCGAACCGGAGGTGACGGGGAACACTTGTCAAACCAATCCGTCATCAGGCCTTTGATCACATTACCCCAAAGGCACTTCCCAAGTAAAACAAATCTGTCACGTCACATCCTATCACCCCGCACAACCTTCACTAAACATTTGTCGCACTCTGACCGCCCAAGCCAATAATTCGGCATACTCGCCTTGCCCTACCTATAAAAGACGCATTAATTGTTGTGAAGGTGGACTTTTGGACCTTTCTTCGCACCCGGACCCCTTCGAGTTTTGACCGGTCTCGTTGTTCATTCTTGATCTACGTATCTGACCCAATTCCCTCATCCATGAGATATTTATTACATCAATTGTTTTATGTGGTCAAGTGTCACAATTGTTCATATTGATTATTTATTAGTGAGCGAATCAGTCTGGTTATAAATTATTATTATTATTATTTTCATTTTATTGTCCTCCAAATTTGAATTTATAAGGGATATATATGAACTATATGTACTTAGCATTTCCATCCTAGAGAAAAGTTGGAAATTAGGTTGTCTCCATTTTATTGTTCTCTAAATTCATTTGTTTAGATGTAAATTAAGGAATATGGCAAATAGTTTTGTACACTCCCTGAATGGTTGAACAGAAAGTAAAACTAAATTCATGTACTGAGATCAAAAGTGAAGTTTAGCCCTAGCTTACTGCAAAAAAAGAGTACTCAGCATGTATAGATTGCTGAACAAGATCATTGGACATCTTGAAGTCTGTCAAAAAGAATCCAACCAAGCTAGCTTATGTATGTGTTGTGTTATCAATAAACAACACTTTGGTTGTACAAATGAATGCAGACATTCAGTGGTATGTACCCTAATCAGGTAGGTAGGGCGAGATGAAGTTAGATTAGGGAGGTGGCCTGATATGGTAATTGTGTTGAGAGGTATTTGGGTAAGAAGCAAAGCTTAGATTCATGGATGGGAGGGATAATGCTGCTGAGTAGGGAGAACCTGCCAGGGCGGAAGTAAAGGCCGTTGTGGAATTATTGGTAGCCGGAGTTGAGAATCCTGATGATGCTGCTGCAGTAGAGAACATTGCCACTGGGGTTGAGCCATAGCGCATTTCACGCATCCAGTTTGGGGATCCTTGCGAGGAACCACCTATACCCATTCTTTTCTCACTTGCTATTTGCTGCTGCCAAATCATAACTCAACATTAGTTGTGGCTTTCAGTATGATATTTAACCAACAGCCAATGATTTAGAGATTTTAGTAACAAGAGTAGTTGTAGCTTTCAGTGCAATAATCAACCCACAGCCCAATGATTTAGAGATTCTATAGAAAAACAAATCTTGGAGTTACCTCTACAAAAGTTTAATGTGTAGATATTATCATGCAAAGTCTGTTCAGACAACTTGTAGCAAGGTTCCAAATATGGACCACATGTACATAAACTAAACTTGCTAATTGACATTTTAGGTATTGACAAGGATTTCTCTTTCCTACTTTGGCAACTGAAAAAATGCCAAGAGCATACCTCGTAATTAGGTAAGAAATGTGAGTAGAATCCATTCAACAACTGAGGTTGCTCTGATGTAAAAGGCTGTCGGTTCAGATGTGAACTCCCAATTGTTGTTTGATCACATTTATCCATCTGTAGTTGAAGACCATTAAAAATAAACTCTAGCTACAAGAAATATTGTAGGGACATTGAGATTATGTTTCATAGCAGTAAAGACATCTACATTAAAGAGCTAATAGGTTGATTCCAAAATAGATATTCTCTTAATTTCAGTTTAATAGAAACTTAACCTTAACAGAGTAATTTTGGATGAAATATAAGGAGGCTTTAGGAGTAATGTAGAATATGATGGTTTTTCTAAATCAAGAAGCATATGGTACTAGAAATTCTCTTTACTTACATTTTTATTCGGAGAAGAGCTTGTAATCCCCAAGTTCAGATCAAGATCATGTTGGCTACCTGTATTGTGGGCATGTGAAAGGTGTGTTACTGCTAAGAACTGGTGAATGCACAGTTTCATGGGTGATTACAATAGTAAAAAGAGTATGCAAATACCTTCATTGTGAGGGTCGAATGCAGTACCCCCATCATATGTACTGGGCTCAAAGTTAGTGACAGCCTCTCTTCCATTACATTTGATAGCTGCCTTATCATAAGCCCTGGTATGCAGAAAATAAACAAAAAAAATGGACATATTGGTTGGATGATGCACTATTGAGGCTGAGAATTCAGGGTAATAATTTCAAAATTAGGACCTTGCAGCTTCTACTTCACTGTCGAATAGCCCAAGATAAATATACCTGCAATTCAAGCATCGCTAAATACTGGGTGTTCCAAATGATTTCTTCTTCAAATAGGCATCTTAATACATTTGTTACCCAGTTTACTTTACACCAACTAGTTTTAAATTCTACTCTAACCAGCAATCAACTCAGTGATTAGTTGCTTACTTTTTGCCTAGGAACTGCCCCATCCGAGCCTCCCATCTCCCACATTTATGCAGTGTTACTCCTCTGTATTTGGAGCTCCCCCTTGAGAACCCAGTACTCTGGCGACGCAGCGTGTGTACAAATTCTTCTTTACTCAGGTTTTCCATCTGCGAAAAGAACCCACCCATCCGCAATAGCAGTCAATAGATGCAGCAGTAACAAGAACAGATCTATCTATCTATCTATTAGTTTAAAATCAAAATGCCAAATAATTTTTTGTTGTTCTAACCTGTTTCATATCCTCCTCATAGTCACTCAAGTGGAAATTTATGTCAGCATCAACTCCACGAAACTTAATAGCAGCTCGATCATATGCTCTGCAATATAGATAAAAAAAAAATATTCAGAAAAATATATCATCCATATTAACTTGGGAAAATACCATACAAAACCAAACGAATCAATCAATCACTTACCTAGCAGCGGCATCAGCAGTGTCAAATCCACCTGGCAAAACCCAAAACAAAGGTCAAGAAAAGAATTTACCAAAAATAGAAATAAGTCGGCAAATAATTCACTACTAAGGGCCAAAAAAGAGCACTGAAATTAACCAAAAAGGAAAGTAATTAAAAATAACAATATTCATACCCAAATATACTTGTTTCCCACAGTCCCTGCAACCAACAACATTTATATAAATAAATAATTAAATGAAAAGACGCATGTTAACAGCAGTATGAAAAATCATTTCCATAGAAACGCAACAAGTATCAGTGAGTTTCACAGTCAGAGAGCACTGACCAGATATGCGATTCCCATCTACCAGTTCTTCTGTAGAAAGTGACTCCTCTGTACTGTGAGCTCCGAGACCTCGGCCCTCTCCTGCTCTTCTTCACTTGCTGTTGCGGCTGAGGCGGCGGTTGCTGCTGCTGTTGTTGTTCTTCCATTCGCATCTCCGCTTGACGGAACGAGAGATCCATCGCCCAGTCCTGCCTCCCTGAAGTTTGACCCGTGTTCCATGCGCTCTCACACACCGGGAATAGCTGCCGAGTCACGAACTCGGGCAGAGCCGCCTGCCGGTTCTCCTCATCCCCGTCGTCGTCCTCGTTTCTGCTCCCGACTTTAAGGATATCGAAATTGAAGGGAACGACGTCCCCGGCGCGCGTGGAGCACGTGTCGTCGTCGCCGGCATTGCTGGAAGCCTCAGCATTCAGCATCGACGAGTTGGAGGTCCCGGATTCATCCGCTCCGGAACCTTCCGGACGCTTCTCGAATCTACTCTCCTCGTAGACTACACTCAGATTGAGATCCAACATCACTCCCAACTCCTCTCCTCTAGCAATCAACAATCCAAATGCATACTTCCATACACAATCCGATTCCTCCCGTCTATATATTTATCTGAACCTTATACAAGTTAGCTTCAGAGTAAAGTACCGAGCAAAGAGCTTTAAACCGGAAAACGGAATCAGCAAATCGGAGGAAAAAACTTCTGTTACAAGACGATCGGAGCGAGAAATTTCAGAAGCTCAAAGATGATCGGAGAAAGTGCACCGGAGCATATGCATATGTATATACTTGTCTTCTGTAATATATACACATATACATACAGAGCGAGAAAAGAGTGGAGATTAGACAGAGAAAGCGGGAGGAAGAGCAATGCGAACAGGAATCGCCATAGTCTCGACTCTGCGATTCCAAGGAAGCGAGAGAGGTGGGGATTGAATTTGTTATTTGTTGTAGGTGGGGAGTTAATTTCTAGAGAGAGAAAGTACAGAAAAGAATAAGATGGGACGTGTGTGAAGCAACATTTTATTTCTTTGTTGGAGGGTTCCTTATATATATACTAATGCACACATACTCCATTTTAGAAGTATATTATTTGTCCGGGAAGGAATAGTGGAGTGAGTGAATTTAAAGATCACGAATTTAATTTGAGTTTGTCAATAATTTGCAAATTATTTATATGGAAATATAATTTATTCCGTGCACAATCTCAAGTAATGAAAATAAATTTCTCTAGTCACAACAAAATAAACTATAATACTTGAATTAATAAATTAACAATTTTTTATTAAAAATCCAATCTTGTTGTTAATTAATAACTAGTAATTATCCCGTGCGATGCACGAATTATTATTAATTAAAAAAATTTACCAATCAAATTTTTGACGTTCTCTGAATTAGCAAAGAAAGTAATGGTTGTAGAAGCAGAAAAACGTACTTGAGTTCTTGAGCTCAGAATTAGTTTGATTAAAAATGTAAGTATAACTGTACAATGTAATATTTAATATTTTTAAAAGTTTAATTATGCTATTATTAGGTTGATTTTAAAGTTTATTGTTACTTGTATTCAGGGTTGCAAAAATCCCGCCTAGGCACCGAGTAATCGCCGCCTAGGCACTAGGCGCCCCTAAGCCGTGGCGATTTCCCCCCTAGGCTCCCGCCTAGGAGACCGGCCGCCTAGGCGCCCGCCTAGCGCCTAACTCGGCCGATTACGCCGAGTTTACTCGTCAATTTCTGTCGAGTTAGCCGAGTTAACCCGATCGACTTGACCTTGCTAATTTTTTTCATTTATATATATAATTTTGTTTTTCGAAAACCATAGTTTTGATGTTATGACTTATGAATTATCATTAATTCATTTATTTGGATGTGTTATTTGAATAAATGTTGAAAACAACCTCATTAAAATTGTCAAACTGCAAGTCTACCACTGTTTTTTTGGCGCCCGCCTAGCGCCGCCTAGATTCCGCCTAGGCGCCGCCTAGACCGCTTAGGCGCTAGGCGCTGCCCGGGCGCACGACTAGCGCCTAGCGCCTACTGCAACCATGCTTGTATTATTATTTGAATTTGATTTTTTTTAAAAAGGAATTTGAATAACTACTTTAATTATATAACTATCGTATTTAAACAAAACTTGTAAATAAAATAACAGGCGATATTTGTCAAAAATCTCCACAAAAAATTTATTCATTTGAAAAAGATTATTTATTTAACAACTATATTTATTTTATATCTAATTTTTTCTCTTTATATATGTGGAGTCAAATTAATTATAATTAAGGTTTAAATGTATATATACACAAATTATATTAAATATAAAACTTTACCAATAAATTTTAACACAATAAATTTTTTTCCATTCTTCATTATACTTTAATATATATAGAGATAGAGATAGAAATATAATAATAAAATATAATTTATAAAATATATATAAATACACATAATAACTTCAAAATATATATATATATATATATATATATATATATATATATATATATATATATATATATATAATCATTTAATAACTGACATAACTTATCATCATAAATTATTAAAATAAGACCAATTTAACAAGTGTAAATATTTAACACACATATATACATATGCATTGTCGCATTGATGTAATTCGAAGAGTTAGCGTAGTAAACACACGATTTGAAGTTCGAATCTCTGTGAGAGTTGTTTATCTCCTTTGCACGTTAGAATCGCAAGGCGAGTTTCAACATACATATAGTTATATACCGACTAGAGTGATAATGTAGGTTTTATGGCATATAGATGTAGGTTTTTTAGTAAATTAAATAATTAATATTTTCTAAAAGAGGTATGTGAATTTATATATGTATTTTTTAAACAAATATAAGTTGACATCATATCTTTTGTATCAAATGCAATAAACCATGGATGCTATGTTTGAATATAAAATATTATACATTTAAATATACAGAATATTATAAAAACAAGTGTTAATAATATTTTATATAAATTTAATAGTGTGTGCAGTTTGTAGCGCAATGTCACATCTCTGTTATTTTTTTAAATGGCAGGTGTTCAATAAGTTGAGAAAATTTGTATTGACAGATAATACATTGTAATAGAATCAGTATTTGTAGTTTCAAAAAATAGTGGGTAGTCATATTATATACACCAATACACCAATAACATAGAAGCATATATATATATATATATATATATATATATATATATATATATATATATATATATATATATATAGCAAATGTCAATTTTGGTCCCACAAGTATTAGCAAAATGACAATTTTGATCTACATGTTTAATTCCTATCAATTTTCATCCACGACTATTGTTTTATTACCAATTTTCATATGCGATTATTATTTTAGTGCCAAAATTCATCACGCCGGTCACCACTTCGTTTAAGACATGTCAAAATATGAAATTATGAAGGGGATTTTCGTTCTTTTCAAATTAAGATCCCAATTTGAGCATTAATAAAGGAATTTAAGCTCTACGATCAATCCCAATTCGCAGTTCTTCTCCTCAAATTAAGGTAGGATGAAGAGGAGAAATGGGAATTGAGATCAGGACTTAAATTTCTTTATTCATGCTCAAATTGGGATCTTAAGTTGAAAAGGGCGAAAATACCTTTAAATATTGTAGATTTCGGCATGTCTTAAACGGGGGTGACCGACGTGATGAATTTTGGCACTACAATAATAGTCTTGGATGAAAATTGATAGGAATTAAACATTTGGATCAAAACTATCATTTTGTTAATACTTGTGGGACCAAACTTGGCATTTGCTTTATATATATTAGTCTTGTTCCTATTTTGCCTTTAAATTTAGAAAAAGAAAAAGAAATGATATTTGTGTACAATCTTTCCGGTCTGAGGGCAACCGGAATAACCGGTCACCTCTTATTTTACCATTTACGTGAAGTCCTTTTTATTGTTACAAAAAAATGCTCAGTACGATACGGAAAAGTCAATGTGACATTAATTACGGCTAATAAATGTTCTTATCACAATATCAAGCAACTTCTATTACAATCCAAAGACATATTCATCACAGTTGCATGTTCTGTTCATTACAGAGAAATAGGAAACCTCGTTCAAAATTATGTTGCATAGGAATGAGATTGTGTAGGGTTCTTAATGTTTTGGGATGTTGTAGTGCATCTTATGCTTAGTTTGTATCCAATTCTATAAAATTAAATTATATACAATAACTAGTCTTTATACGTGGAATGCGAAAGAGGGCAAGTGTCCAATGTTAACAAATTATAATTATATTAAAATAATTCAAAATATAAATAAATAAATGAAACAAGTAATAAAATTTAAAATTATAATTTATACCCCTCACAAATATGTCAATTATCAATGTCACATCTGGATTATTAGCAATATACATGTTGTCTCTCAATTTTTAAAACGTGACATATATTGTCCCTCCCCAAATAGGAAGAAGGAGAAACATTGTTGTCGGCAGAAGGAGAACAAACGAAGAAAGAAAAATGGAGGAAAAAAAATGTGTTCTTCGAACAAGGAAAACGACAAGTAACCACATTTACATCACTAATAATTCAGAGGAAGGGGCAATATATGTCACGTTTTGAAAATTGAGGGACAGCATTTACACCACTAATAATTAATGGTGACATTGATAATTGACATAAATTACAAATTTTCCTATAATCTTACCCCAAATATTGTCCATTAAACCATTGAGCTAAGCCCGTGGGGGTATTTTTCCTATATTCTATCCATAGAGGTACTTGTCTAGATAAAATATTATAAATATTTGTTTATTTGTGATAAATTCGTTAACTTTGTTCAAGTTTATGAGTTGATCACTTATATATTATAATTGATAAATATGTAAATGATACCTCATAGTAAAATATATTTTGTTTAATATAGTATTTAATAATTAAATTATTTTGTTTAAGTAATGCGTTCAGGTAAATACAACTAGGTAATTGATATATATTAATTAATACTTAACTAACAAAATACTTAATATACAGTGGTGAAAGGACAATTAGGTCTGAAAAGATTAAAGTACAATATTTTTAACATAACGTACAACTTGACAAACATATAAAATACGAACATAATTTTAAAAATATAACATATATGGACTCTTATAAGTTTGTTAGATATGAAAAATTCGTCACAATATATAATAATGATGAGTTGAGTTGGGGACTTTAGTTGCCCATTAGTAGGCAAGCCTAAACTAGCCAACACTATCGGGGCACAGGTTTTGATAGAATGATTATACTTTATTGAACTTATATAAACATGTAATTTTTAACGAGTTAATACCCAAAATCGTCCTCGACTATAGTGGTTTTTCTCAATTTCGTCCTAAATGACTTTGGTGACCTAATATCGTCCCAAACTTTTGTGTTTCGCTCAATTTAGTCCTCCATTTGTTATTCCGTCAAATTGGTGTTAAATAAAGGGACAATTTAGTAATGTCAATATTGATCTCTCTTTACTTTCAACTTGTGAAGTGCGAAATTTCCCTTTCTTGTACGAATTACACCCAGAATTACTCCCGAACCTGCAAATCAAATTTTATATTCACAGTTTTAGGAGTAATTCTAGGGGTAATTCGTAAAAAAAAAAAAAAGATTTTGCAGTTCACATGTCTATGAGTAAAGAGATGCCAATATTAAAATTACTGAATTGTCTATTTATTTAACACCAAATGGACAGAATAACAAATGAGGGACTAAATTGAGCAAAAACACAAAAGTCTGAGACTAAATTGAGCGGAACACAAAAGTTTGGGACGATATTAGATCACCAAAATCGTTTAGGACGAAATTGAGAAAAACCACTATAGTTGAGGACGATTTTGGGTATTAACTCAATTTTTAACTGACATAGATAAGATATAGTGTTATGAACTAATGCATATGGAGATTCTAAATTAAATATTAACTTTTTAAATTATTAAGATAGTTGGGTCGATATTTTTTTGTCCCCTTTTCTAACTCTAAATAAGTATTGTTTACTTAAATAATCTAGAAGCTTTGTT